CAACATGCCTTCAATAGCAAATTCAGTGATGGAGTGGAGATTTTCTCCTTGTGTATTTTTGCTTGCTATTCAGAATTACGGCCCCAGAATAGCATCATGCTTTTTCTTAGAGATGTACAGTTTCAAGTTATTTTAGATTCAGTTCAAAGCAAGCTAAGCAAGTCTGCTTTTGGCTCAACCACCTACTGACCTAGATTCACTCAAAAAAAGAAGTGCACCTTATGCAAGTTGAAAAGAAATTACTCATGAAGCAAAACTCATACATCACTACAGCTAATACATAAGGCATTACACTTAATGGTATGCACATCATCTACAATTCTTTTTTTTCCACAGTATGAAACACAAAATTCACTCCACTGTTAAGGGCTATCACAATAACTTATCACTAAATACAAATCACTCAAAAAGCATCATACATTGTACATGCAACTTAGATTGAACCTTCACATCACTTAGTTTCACTTAAAAATAAACTTAAATAAGTTGTGTTTTTAAGATTTCACTAACAAAAATAACCTTCTTAGGAAAGCATGCTACACTCAGTAATGTTAACCTGTTGTGGTCTATAAAAATAAAATTTAAAAAACCCCCTCAACTTTCCGATTCTAGTTCCTATGTGACAATGATGTGATGTCACAGCTTCTGACAAAGGATTAGAGCCTAAAGAAATAATCCTTTTAGGATGTTAAAATAAAACTAAGGATCAAAGGACAAAAATAACAAATTACTCTGTAATGTTTTATAAAATAAGCAAATGTTGCAAATATTATTCATGGTGTATGCAACACATTCTTAATGAAGGCTTATATATTATTTGATTAATAATATAGCATCTTCATAATCTGAACTAGGTTATATGGGCAAGATTTCTTCAGTTAAATCCTATGTCCTAGTATTTATTTTAGTTAAATCATATCATAGAAAACTCTTCAAGTTCCACCTAAAAAAAAAAAAAAAAGGATTTCCTTTCACCATTCCTGGAAGGCTGTTAAAAAAAAAAACAAACCACTCTTCCAATGCTTAAAAGCCTTCTTTCATTTCCAAACAAAATTTGTATTTTGCTAATTTATACTCATGTTTTCTTGCACTAGTATAAACTCAGTTTCGAGAACTTGGTTACTGCCCTGTTCTGTGCACAGTGGTGTACCTACAGAAAGCAGCCGTAGCCCTTCTCAGACACATATGCTAGTCTGAGTCTTTCATGCTAGCTTACAAGCACTTCACTGCAAGAGACGTACAGATCTCTGAATCCTTTACCAGCTCCTATGCCAGTCAAGTCTTTTCAGAACATCAGGAATCAGAATTACACATACAACACAAGATACTACCAGTGTCTTGCATGAAACAAATACTTGTTTTTCTCTCTTGGACCTGATTTCTGTGATATATCCTAGTACTGGATTTGTCTTTTTCATGGCCACAGTACTCTGGCTGTCAACAACCATTTTGCAAGGATAAAATACCTCCAAATCTTTTTGCACCTATATCTCTTCAAATTGATAAGCTCCCATCTTACATACAGAAATTCTTACTTTGAATCCTGTTAATTCTGTGTTATTACACTTTATCCCATTCTACCACTCCAGTATCCCAAACTAAAAAAATTATTCTTGCACATTTTTCTGACCTCCACCATAACACTTCTCTACTTTGTTACCTAAATTTCATTATAATCTGTTATCTTTTTGTGACACTGTCACTACCAAAAAGGCCCAAGATGAATAACATGTAATCCACTGCACTGTCTCTCCTCCAGCCTAATAGTCTTCCTTGCAGCACAAGTCCCTGTCACTTCATCCCTTCAGCTACTTCCTTTTCCAACGAATGAATCTACATTTTCTCCAATTCAATATAAAATTTTCTATGTGCCCAGAAAATGCTGAAAGGGAGTCCAGATACATAGTTTCTCCTAAACTTTGCTTCATTAGGAAATTTACTTTTCCTCATTGAAAGAGTAAGTAAACCTAGAATAATCCAGATCAAACAATCTTTGGCAAACCTGTGTTGCATTTATCTCATTTTCCATTTTCATCTAGCTTTGCACTTTGTTAATTACAATTTCTTTCAAAATTTGTCCCCATGCTTTGTACACTACTGTGATCAAGCTAGGGCTGGTAATTATTTCTAATTCTAGCATCCATCTATACTAATCCAAAGAGATTTTATCCAATTTAGTTCCAAACTCCTTAGAATATTGATTAAAACAATTCAGAAATTGTATCATTCATCCCTAACTTTTTAATTACCTTTATTAATATACAAGTTATATATATTATTTTCTTCAACCAGAGAACAGCAACACATTCACAGAACATGTATTAATATTTGTATTCTATAAGTATCAGAAATACAGCTCCTACAGTTTTGTATTCAAGTTCACTATTTCAGTTATATCATTTTATTTTGCTACCCATAAAAACTATCTACTCCCTGCTTTTTCAGAAAAAAGGACAGAAATTTTGTAGTATTCTGTATGTGTAATTATTGTGTAAATTTACTTCTTTTTTCTTAATTTCCATTTACAGGTATCACAGGACATAAGTAAAAATAACCATGAAACTTGCTTACTATTTACTCCTACATCCACACCTTCATCTTTACTACTGTTTCTGTAAAAGCCTGTGTATATATATACACATACATATACCTGTATGGATTGCTCTGAGCAATGTAGGTGATTTTCTCTTCATATACTCCCTTATAATTTTACATAAATAAGTATGATTTGCTCAGCCGATACAACCAGAACATTATTCTCAAATTAAACGTTTTCTAATGGAATACAACAACCTTTTCAATTTCATTGCAAGTGGAGATTTATTCAACACTGAAGCCTTCAAATACTGTAATTTTGGATCTTCACCACAGAAAACTCCTTGGCAGGAAGAGATGGTACTGAGGCACTTCCTTAGCTCTGTGAAAGCTACAGGCCCACTCACTGCATTTGGTTAGAAAACAAAACCATAACCATAAATTTAGGAGAAAGATGGAATGTGACTTATCCTTCCTGAAATCTGGTTAGAGAGATTTTGCCACTGAGTGTGGAAGCCTGATGACTTTTCAGACTTACAGAGCTTACAAAGAAGGTAAATTACCAGGAGTTGAGGAATTCAAGTTAGACTCTAAAAGCAAGGTTATCAACTTGAGAAGAGTTATCTTAGGATGCATTTAGAAGCATTAGCAGAATACATATTATAATACATACAAGAAATTCAAAGCAGAGGAAAAATGAGCCTTAAAGGACTCCTGGTATTATTGCTGTTTCTCAAGTGTATTCTAAAATGCTCAGTTGACCAACACAGAGACTTTTTTTCAATTTAACTGGATAAAATTTTATAGCTGAGAACAACGTTGCAGAATTTTTAAATGAAAACATCTTCAGAAAGGAAGGTAGAGGAAGAATTAGACAAACATTCAGAATGTCCAGTAAGCAATCTTGTGTCAGATTTCTTCTTCTTTTAGGAGTCAACACTTCAAATTTGTTTGCAGCTTCAGAGGTAGTTGCTCTGTATAACGAACTTTATCCTACAATCCTAGTTAGTGATTACTGATGCAACCAACATAAAGGCAACAAGATGAACACATGTAGATTATAAACTGAGATCTGATTGACAGCTCCAGAGTTGCTGTATTCACAAGCCAAGTAGCAGCAATAAATTCCCTAAAATGACTGATGATCAGTGAAGACATGACAGAAGTCATCAAGCCAAGGCTGCTACTGCTTCTTTCAAGTTCTTAAGGAGTATAACTGACAAACCGAAGCTGAGAGAACAGTAAGTGTAATTTCCCACCTTCCCTACAAGTCTAGGTTCAATCAAAATCCTGTAGGAAAGTAATGAAGAAATGTAAGCAACTCTTTCATAAAATGGTTTGGGCTGGAAGGGACCTTAAAAACCACCTATTTCCTTACCCCCCTGCCCTGACCTTCCACTAGCCCAAGTTGCCCAAAGCCCTGTCCAACCTGGCCTTGAACCCTGCCAGGGAGGGGGCAGCCACAGCTTCTCTGGGCAACCTGTGCCAGGGCCTCACCACCCTCACAGTAAAAAACTTCTTCCTTATATCTAATATAAATCTGCCCTCTTGCAGTTTAAAACCATTGCCCCTTGTCCTATCCCTACACCAAGATCAAGACTCCCTCCCCATATTTCCTGTAGCCCCTTTCATCCCTGGGAGGCCGCTCTAAGGTCTCCCCAGAGCCTTCTCTTCTCCAGCTGAACCCCCCTAACTCTCTCAGCCTGTCCTCACATGGGAGGTGCTCCAGCCCCTCGAGCATCTTTGAGGCCTCCTCCGGACCCATTCAAGCAGTTCCACGTCCGTCTTACATTGGTGCCCCCAGAGCTGGACACAGCCCTGCAGGGGGAGTCTCACAAGAGCAAAGTAAAGGGGGAGAATCCCCTCCCTCGCCCTGCTGCCCACACTGCTCTGGGTGCAGCCCAGCACACAGTTGGCTTTCTGGGATGCAAGTGCACAGTGCTGGGTCATGCTGAGCTTCTTGTCAATCAACACAATCAAGCCCTTCTCCATAGGGCTGCTCTCAATTCATTCTCTGCCCAGCCTCCTCCTCCTTACAACAGAAATATTCTGTTGTATTCAAAGGGCACAAAATAAAACACTAAATTCCATTTAAGCCTAAGAATATACTTTTTAATGTAAGGGTGGTCAAACACTGGATCAGGCTGGGCAGGTTAAAGAAGTCTCCATGCCTGGAGACTGGACACAGACTTGAGCAACCTGCACCAGTTAACCCTACTCTGAGCAGCTGGGCTGGACTAGAAGATCTCCAAAGATATCTTCCAAAGTCAACTACTCTGTGATTCCATAAAATAACAGAACACCTTAAGAATTTAATTTAAGTAGCATTTTTTAGAGCTTTTGGTGTGGAAAAATAAAATCTAAAATGCATAACATGTAAATGTATAATGTATATTATCTTTCACAGAAATAACAGTAAGTTTTTAAATATCATAATTTCATAACACATCTGATGAACAGCTTACCCTCTCCATGACAACAGAAAATAAACACAACTGCATCATTCACTTGGGAGGTCAACAAGTAATTCCACTAGTCCATCAGCCAGTGAAATTAATAACTGTTAAAAAAAAAAAAAAAAGAAGAAAAAAAAAGAAGGTCCCTTTAGTTTCTCATTCAAACAAAAGCATTTCACATTCTATAAGAACACTGACTTGCCCTTGTATCATATCATTGAGAAAGAACCTAACTCTTCATCTTAATACATCATATTTTCTACTTTTTATTTAACTAATTATAAGTATTCCACAAAGATCAATTATTTAATCAGAATATTTTTAACTACCATCTTTCATTATACCTAGGTTAGGTACAATGTGATCTACCAATCAAAGAACTGAATCAAAGAATATTTTAGGCTCTCTATTGATTCAGTGAGTAACTTGTATGAGCCAGTCTCACCAGGCGCCAGTTTCCCTTGTTAATATTTGCCAAGCCCAAAATGATGTTTGAAGTTGAAATCATTAATATTTACAGATAGTATCAAATCTGCAGCTGAAAGATGTGATAAATTTAAATGCAAGATAAAAATCTGCATAATCAAAGTAATTCAGCCATTTAGCAGTTTTGTCAAATAATTGTTTCCTCACCTCTAAGCATTAGTCCCTGTTCCAAATATCAGTCAAAAATCTGAAACTGAAAAGGAAAAAAACATATCAAGGCTAGAACAATTCTTATTAATATTTTAATATTTATATTTAATGTATTTTAACCTTGATTTTTATAACATTGATAGAAGAGTATTCATATATATTTTTTCATGTACGTTATGGTTTATAAAAAGTATAAATATGTTAAGGAAATCTTACAAAAAGAAAATTAATTTTCTTTTAATCAAAACATTAAAAGTCACTAGTATAATCATTTAATGCAACTACAGAAATCACAAATCTGGAGATATGGAGAAAACTGTACACAAATAAACTGAACAGTCCTTTAAAACAATTCCATAACAGAAGAACACAACTCCCAAAATTTCAAGAAAATATCTGCTATCTTGCAAAAAGCATAAGCTCTCTTCATACTTCTTAACCCAAACACATAATTCAGCTCCCACAACAAAATTCTTCTATGTTCATTTTAGTATTTACTAGAGACAATATACATGTTGTTCCAAGCCTTGCCTTTTGTGAATTCTAGTAATACCTTTAGATGTATATAGCTTCATACTTTTTAGAAGTGCCCTCCATTTTTTTTGACAGACATCATTAGGGGGGCAGGAAGTATTCTGCTTGCTTGTTCACAATCATTTTAATGCTTCTTTAAGATGACTAGGTCAGGTAGGACCTCCCAGAGAAAGAGAGACAATCTGCATTGCTTGGAAATATCCTGACCGTGCTCAGTTCCAGGAGGTTCAACAAACTACAGCATGGCAGTCAAGAAAATTCCAGTACAGGAGCTTGCAGCTCAAGCAACAAAATTGCAGTAAGGAGCAAGGAGCAGGCTATCTGACCTTACATATGATAGGAAACTTACAGCAGATCAGAGGCCACTGTGCTGTTCACACCTTACAGTCACTGAACTAACTGTAACCAAGTGGAAGCAACAGGATATTCACCATGAAAATGCGGGCAGGGAAAAAGTTGTTAAAAAAACCCTTTACTTTTCTTCTGTCTTCCCTATTCACTGAGTTTGCAATACATAAAATGTTAATTATCCTAGCTGTTATTCTAATAAAACTTGGCACTTTTTTAATTAAAAAAAATTGGTCTCCCTTGAGGAGCTAATTATAAGAAGAAAGACTAGGCAGAAATGCATCAGAATTATGGCTAATTCAGGGTCCCATGCCCCTGAAGTTATTAAATTTATTTCTAAAAAAAACCCAAAACCAAACCCAAAAATCCAACAAACCACACACCAAGAGGCAATGGAGAACAAAGTTAAGTATTACTACCAATCCTGCTTCAACTATATAGCTTCTGGTCAGAGATCAGGAAAACAAAACCAAAAATCAACAAGTAATTTTACTATCACAGACCAATATTCTCAAAATTATGCTATATGAACACCTCGTGGTTCAGTTATCACAATGGTAGTGGTTCAGAGAAATCCATAGCCGCAGCACTTGGGGTTTGTAAGCTGAAGATATACACAGAACGCTGATCTTGAAACATTTTAACAGGAGTTAAGAATTAATCAGAAGTAAGAACCTTTTTAAAATAGATAAAAAGACATAGATCTACAATAAAAACAAATACTCTTTGAAAAGATTAATTATTCCTTGGGTTTAGATACAGTAATAAATATAAGTGCTTACAATTTCGTAACATATTACATTGGAAAGCCTGAAAAAACATGCAGTAGTTTCTAAATCTTTTGACAATTAATGCACTCTTAAACAAAAGAGGGAATTGTACCTTGAAAGGAAAAGAGCAGCTTACATGTCAAGTATATGCAAAATTGTCTGTCAAACACTTAGACAAAAAGTAACTGGTGATTTTCCTTTTAGAAAGGTAAGAGTCAGCTGAAAAACAATACACTCCTCCATGGAAATTATATATATGGACTCCTTTTAATAAGCAATGGATAAAGCAGTCTTCAGTTTTGCAGTCCCTTTTAACTATTAAGTTAATATATTAACCAGAAACACAGCAAAGTAAGAAGTTATCTTTTGTCTTATCTGAACTAACTGTATGTCTTTGTGAGATACAAATTACCTTAGCAAATGAACAGGATGATTATATAAGTGAAGGTTTATTTATTCTTGTTTACTTACTGTATTGACTCCATACAACCCTAATCTAATACAGCCGCAGACAAGAATGAATAATGAAAATTCAAACATCAATTCTATCATCAACCGTGATCTTCCTCCACAGTAATAAGGTTAATGATCTACTGACAGCCCTTGTAGAAACCTCACTGCAAAAGAAAATAGGAAGAGAATCTGTGAAAGCAATAGAGTAAAAGAGAGTATGAAAGTTAGTAGGACATAACTTACGTTAAAAAATAAAGGATTTCTGACACTGAATTGCTTCTTACACTTGCAAACAAAGGCATAACAAAATTTAGGGATTAGGAGTTTAATCCGGATAAATTCAGCTCAAGAGGAAGGGGAAAGGAGTCCCTAAACCTCTAAATCTATAGCAGCTAAAGGAATGAGCCATTTAAACAGATGATTTAATGAAGTAATGGATTCTTGGTCGCTCATTCCCTTTAAACTGAAGCAGCAAAAATGCTTATTAAAAAAATATATCATAGTTCAATCAAGAGGTTGAAAAAAATTGTGTTTTCTGCCCTGCATTAGTCAGATGAGAGTTGATGAACTGAAGTGGCCCATGCCTTTCTTATCCGAACTTAGAACTTTCTACATTCTTAATAGAGGACAGAACTTAATACCCCTAATACTGTGAAATACTTCCGGAGATCAGTAAATCCCTAGAATAAAGAAGGTCAATCTTCTTAGCCCATCAAGCTGCATACCAAAATCTTAACATGGTCCACAACCACATAGTACGGCACATATCCTGGAAAGAAAAAGTGTTCAGAAGCTTCCCTAAACATCACTGAGTGGAACACCCTGCTGAACTTCATTGCTGCTGGCTGACTTCTTCCAGTAGCTGGAGATTTCTGTTAACCAACAGCCCCTGTGTCAGCATGACCACACTACTGGTCATATGATGTGATTCTAAAATCTGAGCTGCATTTAAACTGGATGTAAGCTACAGATTTGCCATCACTTCCCTAGAAAAATGGAGCCCAACGCATTCTACCATGACCTAGTTAAAATGTGTTCAAACATGCTTACTGATCTTGCTAATCTTTCAAACAACCTTTTAGTCACAATTGCCAAACTTTTTTTTTTTCTCCAAAAGTCACAAAAAAGCTGATTTTAAAAAAGCGCTAATGCTCTCCAAATTTTATTGGACATTTCTCTTTAAATCAAGCTGAACTCCTCATTAGAAGCTTAAAAAAAGAAAACAGCTAATTTTCTAACATCACTTATAATACACAACAGTAACATCTTTCATACTGCATGTGGTTCCACAGCCAAGAAATTCACAAAGTAATGAGATGTTGTCCCATCCCCAAGACAGTTTGTTTCACAGTTTTGGATTAGAATCCAAATTTATCAAAAAGTGACACACCAATGTCTTGCTTTCTGTTTCAATGCTTTCCTGAGACCAAAGTACACCTGCCTCTTCTGCTTGGGGCAAGTGCAGCTTCTTTTCAGTAGCCTAATCTAGATACCTTGGGTAAGAAACGGAATGTGACAAAAGAGATGGACAATCTTTAGCTAAGATTTGATCTTTCCATTGTTATTGGTGCTGAAGCTCTCCACTAAATCTTCTTTTCCACCAGCTTCCCCATGTCATCCCTTAATGGCTGCAAACATCAGAAGCAACATCAGAGGTAAGATCTTTCTTTTGGCTGGCATCAAAGCAACATGCAAAAATTGAATAACCAAGAAACTTAACATCAGCCTGTTCACAACTCAGCTGGATGTTTATAAATCAAGATGAAAACCAGGCAGATGAGAGAGCTGCTGAGCTTGTAATAGTTATGCAAAAATGCATGACACTTGGCAGCCATAAGAAAACTGGAGTGCTATTTGCAACCAGGAGGTTTTGCAAACTCAAAGCATAGTCAAGGCTATAAAGTATTCAGAAGCTGGAAAAAAAAGTCACAGAACTGAGCTAAAAGCTTTCCTTGTTACACATGGGAGGCTTGGGGACTGGGTGATTTGACAACCCAGCAACAGAAATGCCAGAATACAATTCTGAGTGGGCTGCTTCAGGGAAAAATGTCTGAAGTGATCATTATCTAAATAATCGGACTTGCTTTGTGTCATCATTTTCTAATATAAATTGAACTGTGTTTTCTGAAGTGTTTTTATTAGAACAAGAAAAACTTTAGTGAAGATTGTAAATACTAATATTGCTGTATGATAAATAAGTATTTGCCCTATGTTTAAGTCCACTGTGCCACAATATATGTATCTTAGCCTGTAAAAATTCCTCTTGGCACTCCAATTTTCTTTTAAACACTATTCTGTTTTCATAGATTAAACACTTTTACTTTAGGACACAGAACTTTACATACTACAATAGCACAATAACGAGATTTAATGAGCTAATTCATGTATGGGAAGCAATTTCTGTGCATCAGCATATATGTTCAATGCTGTCAAATTTACACTGGTTTACAGCTTTCCTAGAGCTCCATGTCACCAACACTTGATTGCTTCCTGTATCTGATCTTCACTACCACCACAGCTCAAGTGCACTGCTGATCTAAGATCTATCCTTTTACTTAAAACTGAAGGAACTGAGAAACTCTTAAGTACTTTGTACAATAGTAAGGCTATGAATAAAACAGAACTGCGAAAGTTGCAAGTCAAAACCTCACATAAAGCTGCCAACAGCTTTTCCTCTCAAAACTGGTGTGACATTACTGAGAAAAATGACACAGGAGTGTAAAACATCTTCAAAGATATTAGCTTTTTGTTTCACTCCTTTTACATCAAGTAGTAAGATTACACTGTTAATCAGAATTCCCATTTTTATTGATAACATAAATATCAGTAATTCATACATTTACTGTCAAACCCTGGTGAATGTCAGAAACTATCAGTCTTAACTAGTCAGCCATTTTCTTTAATATGCAAGATGTGGGGGGTTGTGTGTGCCTGTGAG